TCCCTACAAAAATAATTACTATTTTGTAACATGGAAAATATTATTTTCTATATATGAAAATAAAATGTAGACAAATAGATAATTATTATACTGTAATATGCAAAATATTTTCTGCATATAAGTACATAATTATTGATTTTCAGTATGAGGAAAAACAAGGGAAAAGAAACGAGTTATCATTTATTATCGTTGTATTTTCGTTATCTGTGTTTCGACCAAGTGTTGCGTTATGAAAAGTGCATGCGTTTCGGCACACTTTCTGAATGTATTCGAGGGCTCGTTATTGTCGAGAGAAGGCAACAAACAGATCGTAAACTTCACAATTGAGTGGAAACATTACGAACCACGATGCAGAGGATTGCAATAGGAATTGATACTAGACAAGCTGTAGTTGATAGCTCTTTGATTGTCGACATATGATAGATAATGGATTGGGCCGTTAAGAGCTTAAAAAATGGGCGATGCCTCAGGTTTTAAGACATAAACCAAGCTTATGCGTATTTGAACTTTGGCCCAAAAGACGACTATGCAACTAGATGACATGACAAAATTTTTAGAGCAACCAGAGCTAAAATATTAGTTTCCAGTTTAATCGATAGTTTCCTAATTATTTATGTATAGTTAGAAGTGAAAAAAGAGTGGAATAGGATCTAAAAATAAGTGTTCTTAAAATAAGTTTTCCCAGTGATCAATTATAATTTTATTGGTAAACAGAAATTTAATGGAATACATAATCGAAAATGTTCTTGCGACAATTTTTAATTGGTATTCTCAATGAAATTTACGCTAGTTAGTAATTGTTTCATCGTGGAAAAAATTAAATTCTGATTGCCACAAAATTAATAATATATCGTTCTAAACATTATTTTTCCAAAAATCGATAATTTTTATCAACTTATAATCGATTCAAATATTTCTCTAATCATTCTATTCGTTAATTTCAATAATAATTAAATCACGGTATTAAAGTTTATTATTTGAATTTATTAATTTAATAAAATACCAAAAAGTGCATGATCTAATTAAAGAAATTAGAATTAACAAATATAACTGTATTAAATTTTCTTATCTATGTAAGATATTACTTTTGTGTTAATCTTTTTGTTAATTAACAACATATTTTTACATACGTTGTTTAGCTATCCTTATTACACGAAACCTTCTACTACGTGATTCTTCAGCAATTTACAAACTTGAACGATAATGGAACTACACTATTTCACCGAAGCAACGTGTCCTTATTATAAAATTACATTTCCCGATCAGCTTCATGTAATAGTACGTTTAATGGAATATCGATGCGGTTCGATACATGTTCTAAAAGGTTTTGCAACTCATATCTGCTATTAATATTAGTGGAAACCAAAGGGTTCGTAAATAACATGTTAAGAGTCAATAAATCGATATTCGTGTCAGAAATAACAGTAAAGTAGAACCAACGGTAAATTTAATAATGTCACGGTTCTTGCTCGTGAAATTTTGAATTTTGAAATATTAATATTGAAATCGTCTTTTGGAAATGATAAAAGAAAAAAGAAGAAAAATTAGAAATAGTAAAATTAGTTGTAATCAACCATAATCCCAATTTTACTATGTACAAAAATTATTATCAATTAATATTTGTCATTTCCAGTATATGTTATTGCTTTTCACGTATAATTCTTTTGTTTTTCCTATTATTATGATTTATAAAATATATTCAAGATTAATTTCAATATTTCGTTAAGTATATTTAGCTCGAGTTAAACGTTTTATAGATTTAAGTATCACGAAGAAGAAAAAATTAACTGAAATTTATTAACTTTTAATTGACTTAAATGATTGCTTTTATACGAGGCCCTGTTAATTTTGTCCATCGACATTTAACTGCTTAATATATTTACGCGCTTACTCCCTGTCAGGTTTAAAAGCGTTGCAGAATTTCACGCTCTGATTCAAGGGTTCAAAATGAGTAAAACAGATTTTTCACGATGTAGCTAAATTAACGAACGCCATGTGCATCTCGTTTAATGATTTTCTTCACTCAATGTCTTTACTATCTTTCGTTTATTATTTTACATGGCAACAAATATTAATTTTTTCACGTATTTTACAATTTTTATGAGAATCTATTTTTACTATATATTTTATTAAGTAAAATTTACTATTAAATTTAAAGTAATTGATAATTATATTCTTTTATTAAAAATAAGTATTCTATTGTTTAAATATAATAAATACGTAAAAGTATGTAATAATAAAAATGATAATTTAATAAAACTATAACGTTTCTTCGTTTTAAAAATAAATTTCATTTAAACGAGCAATAAATTAATTAAACGCGTAACAGCAAAATATCGTGGATGTATTGAAAATATCGTGCAGTCGATGACTTTACAGAGATTTAAGCACATCTATTACCATATATGAAGCAATTCGTTGATGAACGAAATTATTCGTGCAATCGGTTAATCAACATTTATCATTGTCGATGTGTATTTTGTAATATTCAGAAATTTGTCTCTACGAAATTATGTAATGGATATCAACTTCGCGTGGGCGATAAGCCAGACTGAGATTTCACCAATAGGTCAAATCCATCTCTCCGAAAATTTTGCCAGTTGTTATTTTGACCTAATTTTGAACGGCGATTACGATTTCTAACGTAATTTTTATAATTTTACACAGACAATTAGAAACAACAGACAATTATTCTAATATACGTAATGTTGTGTAATACTGGAAATAAACTTACAAGCTGATATTTGAACATGACTTCCTTATATGATGTAATAAAGTATTGAATTTACTATATCCGTTTTCGATAATTAGTTTTTATATTGAGAAGAAATTATAAGTGATTCTTTGTACTTTTATATAACAGCTAGAAATATCCTATTTCCAATGGTACGTAATAAAACTATATTTGAAACAATGGATCTACATTGAAACCCGAATTGAATGGTATTTGTTCAAAATGTATCAAGGCATTGGCAGTCACCCAATGATTTAAAATCTAGTAAACTATAATTATTTGTTTTACATTAGCCATTGTAAATCGATGACGTTTATTTTGTCTATCTATCATGCGCATTTTCGGTTTCCAAAATATCACCAAAATGTCATAACTTCCTTTTTCAGAAGCTTACCCATATTCAGTATGGTAGTATTTTTTCACAATTTTAATAAATATTGTTTATTATTATAAATTATGTAGAAAGATGCTTTTGACAAATATTATTGACTTTATATATTAGTATTTATAATTTAATATTTTTAAATATACTTTGAATTATATACCATAAAATATACTCCAGGATATACTTTAGGATATGTTACTTTAGAATTAATGTAATATTGTAGAATATGTATACTTCCAACTTGATACTCTAGAATACAATCTAATATTCATAAATTAATTTAATACTTTGTATCTTTGTACATTAAGATATAATAATGTTAGGTACCTTATGAAAAGATATGATATATCTGAAATTAAAAAATAGAAGACAAAGTAATTAGAATAAAAAGCTAAACAATAATACGACTATTATAGATGAGGTATACTTAAATAATATTACAAAATTTTACCAAAAAACTCATCCATAATATGAACTAAAATAATGAAAAGATTACCTCGGAACTGAACTCACAGAAACTTAGTTGAAGAGAAGAATCGTGGCAAATTCCTAAAAATTAAACCAATTGTTATTAAAAACAGAAAAGGAAAAGAAAAAAGGAAAAATTATACTTATATGATCATCCACCGCTCCACTCATCCTCAGCTCCCTCTTACACAGATAAGGGAAAAGTAAAGGGAAAGGCGTGGCTTGTTCTTAACCTACTGCCGATTACACGAAATTACACGTCGAAATCTCCATTTCTGCCGTTTCTTGTTACAGTTTGCAACTTCGTGGTGCACGACCGCTGTCTCAAGGCCGTCGTCTCTCCCTGCTCCAACATCGCGGCAAGCCTCATTAAGGTAAGAATACCCTCGGTTTCTGTTCTTGCCCCTTTTGTGACCGGAGACGAGTGAATTCTTCCCTCTCTTCCTCCTCCTCTTCTCTCCACTCGCGACCTATATTTACGCGCCGCTGAGAATACTCGGTTGCATAGTGTCATGGCTGCTGGTCGAAAGTTTCATCCGCAACGAAGTTCTGACTTCGTTAAACAGACGCGAGACCCTCGTATCCAGCGACACACATGACATTTTAAATAGACTTGTTTTTAATGTTCCTTACATGCTCGTCCAACCTTCGTCTTCCACTTCTTCCATAAAATGTTCGTTGAACGCGTAAAGAAACACGGACAAGTCGTTGGACCCGCGTTAAATGGTCAATTATTTTTACGTAAGGTTATTTTTAAGGTAGAGAAAAGACGCTGGAAGAGAGTGGGGGAAGAGGCAGGCAAAAGGGTGGGGATATGTTGTTCGCGTTCAGCGTGTAGTTTCGAGGGTGGAATAGAATAGCAAGTGTTTGAGACGCGTCTTGCCTGACTGAATATATGAGAAACGAGATGTCTTTTTGTTGCAGAATCCGGTTGCACACTGTTGGTCCGAACAAGTACATCGTAAAAGAAAATTCTGCAACGTCTGTCGTAAACGGCTCGATGATAATCTATCCATACACTGTGAAAGTAAGCTTCTATTCTTCTGGTACTGTTTGTCGATAATATTTTTGACGTTGGTGAGGTTATGTGTGGAATGTCTATTGATCTGTGACGAATAAAGAAGAATTTGATTTTGAATATCTCAAAAAAAATATCTTAAGATTTATGAATTTACATATACTTACACGTCGTGAAAGTAAGCTTCTGTCTATGTTTTATTTATTGATTATATTATTTCCTTGATGTTTATGTAATTATACGTGGAATGTTTTAGTATATCGACCTGTGATAAAGAAGAACTCAATGTCAAATATCTGTAAAAGCCATATCTTCTTAAGATTTATGAATTGATACTCCTTTCCTCTTTAAATATCATAAATTTTTTTGATAGAATGGTGTGAGATTTATGGCTTATCCAATACTTATAATTATTTATTTGTACAAACATTGAATTTTAAATGTATAGATAAATAAGTTTAGTACTTGTTACACTATTTTATTTCTCAAGAGGAAAGGAAATTGCATGGTAAATAATTTTTTATACAAGTTTTTAATTGAAAAAGAGATATTATGATAATTTTTATATTTTTATCCCATTGATGCTGCTATTATCCTGGTATTTAATCTTTCCCATTGCGATTTACTTGCGAAAGATTCGTGCTTATAGATTTAATTTAATTTTTACTATATATATACATATAACGATCGAAAATATAAGTATGTTTTAGGTTTTACTCAATATATTGCAATAAAATAAAAAAAAAGTTTCTTTAAACGTTATACTAATATGATACTGGAACGTTGTAGTATGGAAAAATATAAAAGCTTGAAGTTGTTTAACTTTCTGTTTTGTAAAAGTTTATTTAAACTATAGAATGAAAAGGAACTTGGAGAAGCCATGTTAAACGAGTACAAGAAGCAAAGTAAATTCTTCTACCCCGATCTCACGATCTCAAAAGTACCAATCATTCACAGTCTTCTTCCTTGAATTTTTATAATGTATAATTCTTCCACTATCTTTTTTAGCTTCTCCTCTTTTCATGGTATTATATTATTATTTACCCCTGTTTTACTCATTTTCTATTTGATGTATATAAATTTTTCAGTATTCTTACTTCATGTAATATATTGCTATTTCTTATTGTGTTTATATTACAATTTTATTATCATGTAATTTCATAAGTAATGTCTTATACATAAGTAATAATTTTCTATTATTATCCACATTTACATTTAATTTTATTCTAAAGAATCCAAATGCAAACTGAAAGACAGAATTACTTATGAAATGATACTGTACTGTGACGCTATATTATACTTGATACATAGTCATAAGATCTCTTATAAATTTAAATAGTATCGGATGTCATAAGTCTGAACTTCTCTATCCCGTAGTGCTTCATCTGAAAAACAGATAATGATTGATTATACTTGTAATTCCAGTATGTGAGTACTTCGTGCACACGGAGTGCCAGGACTTTGCCGTGGCAAATTGCAAGGAGAACGCCACGTATCTACCTGGCAAGGACTTGGCACAGGTAAAACACACTCATCACTGGCGAGAAGGCAATCTTCCCAGCAGTTCGAAATGCGCTGTCTGCAAGAAAAATTGTTTTTCTGCCGAGTGCCTTTCCGGGTTTCGTTGCGAGTGGTGCGGCACGACGGTAAATGTTACTCTTCTCTTATAAACTTCCGTTTGTCGTTCTGTGCCATCACACTATCGCGATAGTGTACAAAACTTTCCAGACAGTTGCCTGTTTTTCACGTTTATAAATAAACAAAATATATTTTTTTCCTCTCTCCTCGCACTTTAATTCTGTATCGTCTAAAATTATCGTAGTTACTCCCCTCCGAAGCAAAGCTAAAAAAATAAAAATTGTCTGGAAATCGTTGAACGATGCTTAATAATCTTAATTAAAAATAACGTCGATTGTTTCCGAATCCAACTGAGTTCCCAAACGTATGAGTGCTCTTGTTAAAATAATTACAGCGTCGAGTATCGATAAAAATACGTATTTGTATAACAAAAATGTTATTCCTATGTGTTATTGTGTTAAAAGAGACAGTACATTTCCGTATTGGAAACATATAAAAACAGTTTGTTTTTGCAATGCGTAAAATTTGAGTATAAATGCATACGCATGTATCAGAAGATAAAATAGTTATAATAAATAGCAAATAAATTTATAGGGTAAACCTCATAAAGCGTTACACGTGGTTTTCTTCAGAATTTCTAAAAACAAAAGTAAAGAATTATAGTTATGTTATAAATATCAAATTAATTTTTAGATTTTTTCTTCTTTCAAAAATTTCTAAAGTAGATTTAAAAATTGCAAACCAAAAATATAATCTGTCTTCACGTTGTTATCATTGCTGACTTCTGAGAAAACAACTCGTAGCGCTTAATGTGATCTGCTCTACATTTTTTCAAAATCAACCACTCTGAAACAATGGCTAATGTTTTACTTCATAATCATCTGATTGCAGTTGCACTCTTACTGTTATAAAAATATCCCGCAAGAATGCACCTTTGGGAATTTGGAACCAATTTACTTACCACCGCATGCAGTCAGCATTCCACGTACGGAAGTTCCCATGGAAGCCATCATCGGTGTACAAGTACGTCGAAAAGAAGTCCTGGCGCGTGAGTATTCCTGCCGTAAGTGTCTATTGTACAAATATACGTTCCAAATATCGATTAGAGAATGTGTAACACGTGACCGGATAATAGACGGAAGTAGTGGAATGAAGTTATGTTCACGTATACGTGTATATTGTAAATATGCCTTTATATTTTGATTTATCGATATCGTGCCGATTTATATAAAATTTGATTTTGAACGATCGATTGTACATATAAGAACGACGAAACGAGGATTTATGAACCAGCTGTGAATTTAAAAATAGCACGTAGGATGTTTTATATGTCTAGCATCATATAAAAACGAAGAGAGATAATTAAAAATTTTGATTTGCGTAAAATGGAAGTATAATACTTGTAGGATACCGAGATGAATTTCTTTTACTTTTATTGTTATATAATTGAGAAATATATAAATGATCTTATAAGGTTTAGACTATGAAAGTATTTAAGTTGGAAACTCTTGTTCTATACATATTTATGATATTAGTATATTACACTCAGATAACAAATAATGGCTCAATTAGAGTGTTACGAATTTCATGGTCGATCAATCTTCACGATACATCGAGCACACGTTTTATCGAGTTCCTATAAAATGTCACAGTGTCGATACTTGATGCATCATTTAAAGAAAAGAATACTGTCATGCAAAGATCACATTGTACTCATTGCTAGTACATGAAACGATGATACTCATAGCAACGATACATTTTAACCAGATAGTATATTAACGTTTTAGACGAAATAGTCACGATTTACATGTTTCTCGTGTGTAAAATAGAATTTCTTTTCTCACTCTGTCGTATTCACTATGTTTTCTATTTATTTTGAATAGTATATAATTTCTATACGTGTTTTATATATATAAGATATATGCAACAATATATATACGTATATTTTCCGAAAATGTGTATAGTAGCGCCCTCATATCCGCGAAGAACGAGTTACGAATAATTGTGGTTTAAATCGTATATAGCGTTGAATGCTATTGCAATGTTATGTTCGTGTATCATACATAAATGTGCAATAAATTTTAGTTGATAGTTATAGAATACTAAAATCGAATAAAATAGTGATTATATGTACTGTGTATAACATTCTAGATTTACAGTGTAACTTTCTTTGTTTCTTTTCTGTGTATGAAAGTGAATGATTTTGACGTTTTAGGTTAATCTTCAAGAGACGATAAAGGTATGAAAATATTGTCTATGTAGTGTAGTATTATATTTATTATATTCTACATTTTAATCATGATAGAACAAGGAACCTATGCTTTTTTTTTACTAAATTACGTACTTTGAAACTTAGGAAACGTTTATTTCTTAAACTTTCTAATTCTTTAAAAGAGGTTAGCTTCGTATAAATCGCGAATATCAAATCAGCGAATACGAGGGTACGACTGTAATTCGGAAAATATATATTTGAAAGTTTTTTAAAAATTTATCCGTGTATTTTCATGTTATCCCATATATTACATACGATAATGTTTATTATCTTATATAGTAGGATAGTTTTAATACAGAAAGAAAGGAAAAGTCTAAAGAAGTTAATATAAGATAATTTCCATTATACGTATCGATCTATCAATGAGATATTTATATTTGTATATATATATTATATAACATCGAACTGTAGACAATTTTTTGCATAATTTTAGTATTTGTTCATCTGTACGCGTGTATAAAAGTATGTACACATATATGACACTCGAATTTTACAATTATATATATATATACATTATTTTCTTTCTTCGAAGCATGCCAATGCAAGCATGTCAAGTTTATTCACTTTTAAAATGTTATAATTATCATTGAAAATTCTTAAAGATGATATATTTTTATTAAAAGATAATAGGATAACGAAGGATGTTAGGATAACAATTAAGCTCTTTTCATTTCTATATTTTCACATCTTATATCACACTAAGAATAGTTGTACAAATAATTATTTGAAAATGCTAGTATTAGTCCTTAAAAAATTTAAATATTACCATATTGAAAACAATTATATCAAACATCACTTTGGCAGTACATTATTTAATAAAATTTAATAAAACTCATTAAAAATATTGTTCTTTCATTTATACATTGCATTGCATATTACATTTAATTCAACATATTTTTTATCGTAATATTTCTTATATAGAAATCCAACTTTCACTGTTCAATTTTTTCCAAGCAAGTTTTGCGAGCAGGATATCTAGTTTACATATATACTTGCAAACATTATAGCTTCTGTGGCTGTCGCTGTATTAATCGCTATTCTCAATGTGCTTTCAATAGGCGTAATGACATTTACGATTATTACATCGATTCGCGTGGCTTTATAACTACAGTTAAACGGGTTTGCTGATATCGATACTGGACACTTAGGGAACCAACTATTAAGTTCTCACAACCGTGTACGATAAAGTCGTTTAAAAGTTACGAGAAAATATACATTTAAGTTGTCAACATACGATAGTTTCAGTAGGTGAAATTAGAAGTATCAATTAAAGATATTTCTCAAGGTGTATCAAACGCAAAGCTGAAAGTTTACGTTATCGATTAATTTAGTTTTCTTTATGCTTCTTCTAGAAGAATACTTGCGTTGAATATTGTGCGTGTAATAGCCCTGGGGAACTGATAACTCGCGGGCAACAGTGTCTATTCCCCTCCAACGCAGTATCTCTCACCATAGCCACTTGATTCTACGCTGCATCTATGTAATAACATGACACTTGTCTATATATACTAAGTCCTAGAATATGCACAGTCACTTACACGTTTGTGCCTCACGTACGCCCAGCAGCAGTAGAAACAGTGACTTAATGGTGGGAGAAACAGCAGACTAATGGTGGGAATAATGCAGCTACGATGATGTTCCCCAGGCTTGGTGTATAAAATAGCGATGAAGTAGTAAATAATGGCGAATAAAGTACCACTAGTGGTGCCCTCTACCGCACCACGCCGTATGTATGCGATTTAAACGTTGCCATGCTAGTTTCACGTTTGTCGATGATTTGATCAAGAATAAATCGAACAAAGAAAAGGTAACATATGTACGTGATAAATCTTAATGCACTTTTATGACAATATATCAATTCATAAACCTAATATAATACCAATTTCAAAGTTTATAAACGTAACAAAATATCAGATATATAACTTATTCAAAGTACCAATTATTATTTATTGTTGTGACATCTATAGAGTATATATTCAAACGAAATTTAAATTCGATACTTTTATTCTTCAAAGAAAGCCAGGTATTGATAATATAAATATTTCTTGTTGCTTATTAATGTTAGTTCTGTTTTCTTATTCTTATACGAGAAGATTCTAAAGTAATTCTATTACTATTTCTTTCAGAGAATAAAATCATATTTCTTTCTCCGTAGAATCATCAAGCTCGCATTAAATAATTCATTCTGTGCCCTTAAAAATTATAATAAGAGTCATACGTGCCAAAAAAATCGCAGATAAAGAAGAAAGAACCAGTAAAATGATTGTACAACGAAATATTGTGTCTCACACTATCGAGGAACGTGGAATTTACTCGGGCAACGATTTAAATCGCAGTCACCGGCGTCTATGTGTTCTATATCTGAGGTCGGAAGGGAAAAAAGAAAGAATTGTGTAGAGATTCAGAGATTTGTGTAATGGTAACCGTATATAAAAAAATCCGGTCTACCGTTTGCTTCTATTTGAAGATAACATCGGGGAACAATTCGATTTCGCTGAGAGTGAACAAATTGGGGCTGCGGGCCGCCTAGCCGAAGCTTTGAGGCGCCTTTCACTAGTTTTGCCACGTAGCTGCCGTGGAAAGTGTCGTGCTTCCCCTCCTTATGTTCGAGGTATATAGAATATTACCATCATCTGACATTTATCTGTGTGAGCATAATCGATGTTGAGATGTTAGCGCGAAACCGGAAACCGGACGGAACGGAACATGTAGCGATTAATTATTCTTTGTGATATAATTCAGCTTATTTTCTCTAACTTTATTCTTCTCTTTCTATTCTTCTTCCTTGTCTATCTCAAGCTTCTTAACATTCTCCTTCTCTTGCCTCGCGTCTGTCGCTTATTTTCTTTTCTTCTATCTCTTCCTGTATTTTTTTCCATTTCTTTTCCCTTTCCTTTTATTTATTTATTTATTTATTTGTTTCTCGTTCTTCGAGGATCGAAGAAAGAAAATGATTGCGTATTACAGCGAAGCGTCCTCCTTTCTTCACCTTTTCGGTACTGGCAGAGGACCGAGGTGTTGGCGGGGTAAGCTCGAAGATGTGATTTTTGTTACGTTCATGGAGTTAAAAGATGTTATTTCAGCTGAATAATCTGGTATTCCATGAAAATAGCGCGGAAATAGAAGTTACATTGAATGTATATTTAAGCTGGGTACATGTTCAGGTCTAGCGAAGCTAAAATATAATGTGACGCAAGAAGATTGTATTTGTGAGAGACCTTTTTAGTGTTTCTTTTTATTTGAGTAAGATTGGTGTTGCTTTTGATGTTGTAGAAATTGAAGTCTCCAAGTACCACTTTGTTAATCAATTATTTCACTATTTAAAATTGAGCTACAATTTTCACTCTCAGGTGAATATGTTTTTCCTTTCCTTTTTTCTATATAGTAAATATAGCGTATTTAATAAAAACTTTTATACTTGTTTTAGATTCTGATAAAAGGAAAACTGAATGTTCAGTATCGTGTGATTTGACATTTTTGTTTTAAAAAAAGCAAACGTTCTTCACGTTGAAATAATTTCGACGCTTTGCATCTTGGGTTGGTTCTGACCTTTTTGCTTGTTAACGTGTCGATAGTTCGAGAGTAGCTTTAAACCTTTAGTTCACGCGATCCGAACTTTTTCAAGGTCCGCTTGAATCAAATTTAAGTGATAAACAATGTCACTCGACATATTAATGATCGAACCTCCCTTTGTGCACTCTCCTGTTCACAGACGAGTACAATACTGTAAAAATTGTCGAGATTTTATCGAAATTACCTTCGAAATTTTACCACGATTATATTTTCTCACGTCAACTTTTTTTTTTTACAACATTGCACACAGGGAGAATATTATAAAATTTATAAGGATGCAACCATAAAAATTATTCTTCAAATTTTTCCAATCTTAATTCTATAATAATGTTATAAATAATTTTATAAATTATTCTATAATAATATAAGTTAAAATATGATTTATTTTAATGTAGGGGGGTGAATATTGAGACTAGGTAGGAATGAAGGATAGAAGAGTCAAGCTGTATCTAATTTTTATACAGTTGTGAAAGAGTAGTTATGCGAGGATTTTTAGCAATGCAGTACCGAAAGGGTTGATAACTTGGTTTTATTTTACGATAAAACGATATGTTTTAAAGCGCTGCTTTTTAAATCAATAATTTTATCTTGTTTAAAGTACTCATTCGAGGCACTGCAATTAATGCGCTTGCTTTAACTGTATGAACCTCTTATATTTGAAATGGCGTAAGTTCTGTATGTTACCATTATAAGTTAGAAACACCCAATGTAATTAAAAATTTCGATAATATTCTGTGATTATCTGATTAAGGTAGATAAACTTCGCGCATCAAAAGCATTATTATCGATTAACTGTTATTATGAAGATGACATCTTTTTCATTAGAATTCTCATGAAATATGGAGTACAACGAGACTTCTTATTTTTTAATCTACTATTAAAATTAAGTTTTGTCAAGATATTATTGATATTAAAATTTGTATTAATATTTATAATAATTTCAATGTTTTTTACGTCATTATAAAAATAAAAGGTTGATATATTTCGCAAATATTGTAAATTGGGACGACGCCAAAGATGAGTGTTTCGATTTTCGATACTTAAGAGAATAATAAAAATTACCGAAAATTATGTAAGTCATAAAAATATCTCAATTTTGAGTAAAATCTAGGTAGAATCTTCAGAACCTCCTTTTCTTTTCATCGATTTTCTTAAGATTCTCATGGACGACGTTCTCTATTTATATTATAAATCAATATATTAGAGTAAACAAATTTTTCGTATCTTTTAAAAATCTCTTGTCTCTGGCGTACACGTGTTAGAAATTACCGTTTCACTTAGCAACTTGATTTTTAATGAATATATATATACATAATATATATTTACTACACAGTTAATATCATAAAACTTGAACAAAATAATGAGAAAGTGTAAGACAAACCGATTTATACACGATAATATTCTATCATATTTTTCTTTTTCATAAGTTTAGCACGATTTATCATTAGGTACATATCAACTCTGTCAACTTTAATTCCATTTTACGGATCAATGCACGGTGAAATTAAAGAACTCGAAGTTAACTCCACCCTTCTGAGACGTCATTTTCACTCCAGCTTATTAATTCATACAATTACTGTCCTACCTATTACTGACAAAATAATTACTATTCTCATGAAAAAGTATAATAACAACGATGGTAAACCCAAGGAAAGTACCAAAAAGTTTCTCGTACGAATTTTACTCGAATAAAAATATGTACTAATATTTCAGAAATTATACCTATCAAAAGTTATCAAAATAATTATTATTCCCATAAAACAAGATACTGATCAAAATTTTTTATATAAAATGATCTGAATAAAAATATACATTAACGTTTCAGTTATTCCAGCTTTTATGAACAAAATAATTACCATTCTTAACGAAGACCAATAAAAATAATACAATTTATAATACGTATTGATCTTGATAAAATTTGCATTAACGTTTCCGATATTCTACGCACTGCGAACAAAATTACTATTCATGATTACTATTCGGAATGAAAGGAATTAAAATAAAATAAAATAGTAATCATAAAATCAAACAAATTTCCCAATATCTTTATCGTAATCTTAATCTTAACACCTTAATAGAAATTCGCATTACCATTTTAGATATCGCACATATCGCTAATAAAATAATTATTATACATATGAAAAAAATCAAATAATTATAATAATAATAATAACATAAATTCAAATAAAAATAAATGCTAACATTTCAGACATCTGATCTGCTACAAAATAATTACTGTTATAAGAAGTTATCATAATGGAATCAACACTGCAACCATCAATTACTATTATTACCAAGACTTACCATAATGAAACCATTTCCCATACTAATTAACTTTAACAAAAATTCGCCCTATCATTTCAGAATACGAGAAATGTTATTACATAAGATAAACGCGATCACACGATTTCTTTCTTGCCCTCTGTCTCTCTTTCTCTTTCCTCGACATGCAAAATCCCGTGTCGCGAGTACACATTAATATCTTCTGATGGCACGTATTAACGACTCGATTTACATTTCAGCGAGCGTAGGACGAATCGAACGATTACGAAAATCGCACCTTACGTCACATTGAACCAGTCTATCTATGAATGTTTGTTATTTCGTTTTAACATTTACGTTTCTAGCATGCGTGTATGTGTTGCTTCTCGGTGCATGTACTGTCACACTCAGCCCGCTGGATGCTATGATGATTACCGTGACGCTTGTCACGCCACTATGCAGTGCAAATGAAGTTGCAAGAATGCTACTGTCAATAAATCTTCCTATCATGTGTGTTCTGCAAACCCATCGTGCCCGATGGTAAGAGGTGTCACTTATTATTTCTTCGAAATTTTGCAAGAAAACTGTTGAAAGATAAAAAGAGTTGAAAGAGTACGAACCTTGCGTTGTAGCGCAGTATATGTAACACCTTAGTCTGTATTCTCTCCCCTATGCCTTTTCTGCTATTTACCTACATCTCATGCGGGTACAATCATTGCAGTATTATCGCACAATGCACGTAGAACGTCTGAAATATTTAGTGCATAATAATATTCTTATACTTTTCTGTATCTTATCTAATTCATGTAAATGTTGAATGCACAAGATTTTATTTTCTCCTGGAAACTGAGTGGCCTTTAGTCTTTCTCTGGGATTCAAGTGATATTGACTTGGAAGATTTTTTAATGCAAGCAGAAGATGGCCTTTTAGTTCAGCCAATGCATTTCTCTGTGTGTTCTTTAATTTAGAATACTATAATAAAATGAAAATGTAAAGAACAAATAATATCTTTGTCTACGTTCTTAAACAAAGCTATAGAAAGTACAGAGAATAGATAATACTTTGTTAATACAAGTTTGCAAGATTTCTTTATGAAAATTATAATCGTTTGAAGTAAGAATGGCACTGTTTGAGCAAAAATATTTTTCTCAAATTCTATGGTTTAAGTAGATTCTTCCATTAATATGGAGTTTATGCATGCCAAATTTGAAGTTAACTCAATCTTGATTGGAAATTGCAGTGATCATTGCCAAATATTAAAAGGCACGAAGCTCTATCTTCATATTCCAAATCATCACAGGCAATTACGATGTATATGCAGCTAATACGACATTGAAACTCATTAAAAAAAAAATGTAAAATTTCGAAAAAGTACTTCATCTATTTCTCGATGACTTGACAATATCGACATTGTCAAGTTTTCCAAAATTCCACATCTTATATCTTTGGAAAACAAACAGGAGAGATTCCACAAACGCTTCATCCTGTATAGCATAACCCGAGGCAAAATTATGCACTAAAGTTTCAGAATATCTCACATTGTTAAGCTCCACTGGTATTACGTAAACCAAGCCACTGTGCCGGTATCAAATTGATTCAGTTCCGTATACTAGCGCTTCAATAATAGCAATAATTCCGTAGTATCTTCGATACGAAACCATCTGATCGGATGACACGTTTGATCCACAGTACTTTCATATAATTCTCCTGAAAAAAAAGAAAAAATAATAATAAGATCTTTGAACCCAGAAAGTATCATAGCTACTTTCTATAGATGCTTTCTCACCATACACCATTAATGTTATCTGAGTAATGATTGCCAGAGCATATTAATAATAATTGCATTTTTTCAATGGTAGTTAAAGAAATGAGACGATGCATTTATCTTACACCTAAAAAGTATCACGGTGGACTGTATGATCCTACAAGTCCGCTACCCTATCGTCAGAAAGACCAACACGCGAGTTACAAGAACCACTTCCGGTTTCTTTTGCAGCACGAAGCATATCGGAAG